TCTTCTTCAATAAATACCTTAATATTATATCTCTTTTTCTCTGGTTTCTAGTTTCCCACCCAAACTTACTTTTTTTTTAGGAAGTAGAAAGGGATGCTATTAGTTGTGTATTTGTTAATACATAACCAAATTAAAATATTGTACAAGCACATGAGTGGAAGAGAGGGAAAGAAAGAGAGGGTTAGATGGGTGGCCCCACCTATTTTTCTGTTCATTATTGCCATCGTGTTAGGAAATTGCACTCTAAATATTATATAATACCTTTGGATATTTAGTGGCACTATATATGCATATATTTAGTAACACTTCATACAAATATAGAACCATTACATGCATATATAGTACTCCCTCTGTCTCTTTATTAATGTCCACTTTCTCTCTATTATGTGAGTAATAAATGATAGAAAGTGGACATTAACAAAGAGACGGGGGGAGTACTACATAATACAATAATAGTACCATTACATGCAATCCTAAATTACGTTGAACATTAATTACATCAATTGACACGTTATTTTGATATGCATTATTAAATTAATATAATTTTAGAAAATATTTTAAATGCTTATCTACCGTTTAGGAGCTTTCATTAGTAAGATCCTTTTTATAACTGTAGGCACCCAAATGTGTCTCCCAAAAACAAAACCCAGTGATGAATACCTTTCATGTCATTTGATTATCGAATGATAGCGAAAGTGTGAAAATTCTAGTGATGAGGATGTTTTTATTAAAATATCTCTTCTTTCTTTTTTTGAAAATATTTCTTTTCTTACCCTACTTTTGAAAAACTTGTATTACAGTTTAGTTTGGTGCATTATATGGGTCCAATAATAGTGTAGTTGGATAGGGCTTGAAAAAATCTTTCCAACGATATATTATAAGCCCAATTCCGATGAATAATTAGGAAGTTATGGCCAAAATACTAAACTGGGCCCAAACCGGATTTTACCTACGACCCAATGATCATGTGGAGGGTCCAAAGGTCAAATCTTATTCCAAAAATAATTGGGATTTATTAGAAGCTTCTATAAGTTTTTAAAATATCTTAATTATCCTTTTTGAAAAGATAATATTAAAGAATTTGAGTTAATAAAAACTTTCCTTTTTCTTAAATCCTAATTCTATTCGAATTTAAAGATGTTCAAAGACAGTCAAATATTATTTTTTTGTCTCATAATATTTATCAAAATTTTATATGGTTGGATATATCTTGAAATTATCTTTCCAATGATATATTATAATATTAAACTCTATCAAAAACTGACACCGTCTCATTATTTCAGCCATATATTTTTATCTAGAAATGATTTAAATCTGATTATAATTGGGTAGGAAAGAAGACTTCAAGATCTTTCCAACGACATATCATATGCTTTATTTGAACTTCTGGATCAAAAGATATGATAAAAACAAAATCCGCAAAAACTACTGTCCATCGAGTTCTATTTCTATTCGAATTCAGATTCTCTTCTTATTCTTCAACCCTCTTTTTTCTCTATAAATAGAGGTCATATATCCCCTTTTTCAATCTTCAAATCTCATCAAGAAATTCTTTATTCTCTCTCCCTCTTTCTAGCCTAGCCTTTTACAAATATAATTCCTCATACATTAGCACTAGACATACCTAGCATTGTTCGAAGTTGCCTTCGCCCTAGACATGAAAGGTTTGATTTCTGAGGGTTTGGTCCCTAATCTTTATTTCAATCATTTAATTTAATTGTTGTTATATTATTTTCCTTGAAGTTACTAACGTTTGTATTTTGTTATTAGAAAGAGATACGAGGCATCCAAGTAAGTGCTTTAATTGATTTATTGTTATTATAATATAGAAATCATGTTTAGGTTATTATTATGATTCCTAATGTCATGTTAGGGTGTTTTGATCTTCCTAGTATCATTTTTAGGGTAAAGGTTATAATATCAAATATGAAAATTGTGATTCCTATGATGCTTCTTATTCTCTTTCTTAATATCATGTTAGTATCATGTTAGGGTAAAATCTTTGAACTTTATTGTTTAGTGACATGCTAGGGTTTGTTATTAATCTTGTTAGTATCATGCCTAGAATCTTGCTATTATGCTTTGACATGATGATGGTGATTATTGATTATAATTATTATTATGATTATTTTTTTAATGATTATGTTGCTTGATATTTATTGTTATTGCTTGGTCACACCTTTTATGCATGTTTAAAGGGAATTTGGTACTTGTAATCACGCTTAATAAGATAATAAATAATCTTGTTAGGGTTAATATGATTATAATTCAAGTGATCGCCAATAATAGATTTATTTGTGAATTAATGTTCAACTAACATAGATAAACAGGTTTAGGGCTAAACCTAATGATTGTATGTTAGTCAAAAAGCGCACATGAATACGATCAGAATAAAGTAAAGACCTATTATTCGAGCTGGTTCAATCTCTTTTAGGTTAGATTTGTACCTTCATCCCCGAACAACTTGTCATGGTTCTCGACCTATTGGAGTTGACAATCTCCTGGATCGTTAAGGGGTGTAACCTTCACCTCGTGAATGGTTTACAAGTTCCTAAAACTTGTTGGCGACTCTTTTTCTCTATCTTCTTTCCCTTTGGACGCCACCGTACTTTAGTGTATGATCACAGTGGGGTTCAAGTTAGGGGTAATTCTTGAAATATTCTCTACAATAACATACCAACTAGGCCTTTCACGGGTATAGATTGATGAAGTTTGAGATTAGTTAGGAGTTGATGATGAGTAGAATGCGATTTAATTTGTTAAAAAGATAGAATCTCTTTGATTGCTACAAAACCGGAAATACGATTTTTGAAAATATCTTTTCTGATTTTATCATTAATTAATATCTTTTTATCTCAGAAAAATATCTTTGAAAAAGGTTTGAAAAACTAACTTCCTAAGCTTGCGTAACTAGCTGTTGATTTAGTCTTCTCTACTCATGTAGAAACTGCTCCTAAGAGAATCAAAGTGCCCTGGTTTCTAGGACACGTTTGAAGCTTAGTAGTGGTGGAAAGAAGTGGTGTTGATATGCAGCAGTAGTGTCGAAAGTGGTGGAAGTTGTGGCGTTTTAATCAAGCTATGGTTTTTTTAAATATCGAAGTTGTTCTTTAGAAAATTTCACCTTGTTCAATCATATCTTTCCATCTTTCTTGTTTTCAAAAGAGCCAAGTGTCGCATTCCACTTAAGTTGATAACTCTCTTAATTACTTTCACTAGAGTTTTATCTTTTAATGTTGTAATTGGGGAATTAGGTGTTTGAGTGAACTCTAAGAGAAGTCAGTTGAGAAAGAGAGAGAAGAGGAAAGAGAAGAGAAGAGTAGTAAGTAGAGGGACTTGCTACTAGGAAACTCCAAGTTCATAGTGGAACTTGGAGCTAGATCCTTTAGCTTGTAATAGGTTGTTTTCCCTATTATAGCAAAGACTCTTTCCTAAAATCCCAAGAGGTCGTGGTTTTTTCTCTTGTTAGGGCCAAGAGGTTTTCCACGTAAAATCTCTCTGTTTGATTTTTGAGTTCCTTTAGCTTAGTTTTATTAATTTCGCAAAACGTTCGCTAAATTCTCCCATACTACAATTCACCCCCCCTCCCCTCGTTTTGTATTCTTATAAGGTAACAATTGGTATCAGAGCCGAATCCTCTCAAATCAGGACACCCTAAATAGGAGAATCTTGGCACAAGATGAATACTCATGAAAAACTTGAAGAAGGATACTTCACTCAACGACCTCCCATGTTCAACGGGAAATTCTACACATATTGTAAGAATAGGATGGAAATCTTTATCAAAGCAGAAAATTATCAAGTCTGGAGAGTCGTCGAGGTAGGAGATTTCGAAGTAACAAAAATCGATGCTTAAAATGAGGTAATTCCTAAACTAATGTCTAAATATGAGAAAGAAGACTTTGATAAAATTAAAATTAATGCTATAGTTGTTAAGTTAGATCACTGTGGACTTGGACCTTATGAGCACAATCTTATGGGGTGCAAGAATGCTAAGGAAATTTGGGATCCGCTTCAGGTTACCCATGAAGAAACCAGTGAAGTAAAGCGTTCAAAAATTGATTTTCTTATGTCCAAATATGAACATTTCGAGATGCAACCCAAAGAATCTAACCAAGAAATGCTTACTAGATTCACTAACATTATGAATGAACTAGTCTCTCTTGGTAGAAAAATTCCTACAAATGAACAAGTTAGAAAAATGCTCAGGAGCTTACCTCAAGATGAACGTTGGAGAGCCAATGTAACAGCCCTCCATGAAACAAAGGACTTCACAACATTCAACATTGAACAACTTGCTGGTTCCCTAATGACACAAGAGCTCAATTTGGGAACTAACAGTAGTGAAGGCAACAAGAACAAGGGCCTAGCACTAAAGGCTGATCAACAGGTTTCTGAAGTAGATGAAGAAGAGGTTGCAATGTTGGTTAGGTGTTTTAAAAAAATGTATATAAGAAATGGCCAGAACTCCAGATTTTTTAAACAAAATCCTCCAACTCAAAACTAGACTATGGCTGTCGCAAATATGGAACAACTAACCACTTTATTAGAGACTCTCCTCAGTGGGATATTGATAAAGGAAAAGGGAAGGCCAAGGAACAGGGAAAAGAAAAATACAAGACTTCCTTTTCAAAGACTGATGTCAAGAAAGCCATGATAGATGCATGGGGTGACTCTGAGAGTGAAGAAGATAAAGATCAACCAGAAGAGGAAGTTGCAAATCTTTGTTTGATGGTCAAATCAGATGACAGACGTGCATACCTTAAGGAACTAGAAAAGGAGGTAAGTGAAAGCAACTTTGACACTACTCAACTTAGAACTTTATCCAAGGATGCATCAATTGATTTAATTGTTGAGATGAAAGTTAATCTAAGTGATGAATGCATGAAAAAGAATGAATGTCAAAAAGTTCTACAAATCTGGAAGGATCATAGTGCTTGGCTTGCACAGCACGAAATGCAATCAGAACTAGATTTTGAGAACTACATGACAAATATCTTTTAATGTCTGAGTTGCTTGAAAGAGTCAAAAAGGAAAATGTCATGTTAAATGTAGAACTTTCACAGTATAAACTTGTCAGTACTAATATTGGTTCTAGCAGTTCCTCTGATGATTCCATGAGACACAAATTAGATGAGAAATTTGGGAGATTTATTGATATGCTCAAACAACTTCACCTTTCTCTACCCTTCACCGATGTGATCAACCAACTGCCCAATTATTCCAAATTCCTCAAAGACATTTTGAGTGGGAAAAGGACTTGTGATGTTGTGGAGACTATCAACTTGACCGAGAATTGTAGTGCAATCATCATGAACAAAATGCCACCCAACTTAAAAGACCCCGGAAACTTCTCTATCCCTTATCCTATTAACAAGATGAAAAATGATAATGCCCTATGTGACTTAGGAGCTAGTGTAAGCCTAATTACATATTTGGTTTATCAAAGACTTGATTTAGGGGCACTCTTAGCTTCCAACATTACCTTGCAACTAGCCGATAAGTCAATCAAGTTTCAAAAAGATAAAGTGGAAGATGTTCCATTGAGGGTTGGGAAGTTTATGATCCTGGTGGATTTTTTTGTACTTGAAATGGATGAAGATGCTACCATTCCTATCACTCTAGGTAGACCCTTTCTTGCTACCTCGGGTGCTATGATTGATGTCAAGAGTGCAAAGATTTCGCTTAAGGTAGGAGATGAGGTCGTATAATTCGATTTGAATGATTGCATGAAATATCCATGTTCTTCTCTAGAAAATTGCATGATGATTGACTCTCTTGATCATGTTCTGTATTCCATGCATGAGCACTTGCTCACCTCTAACGACTCTCTTGAGAATGTTTTGTTGAACAAAGATAAGGTAGGTGCGCCATGCAAGGAGATGGCATTGTTTGACGAATTGCTTAATAAAAGCATGGAGGAAGTGGATGAACAAATGTGCTTGAAGATCTCAAGCCATGAAGCGTTGCAAGTGGCCGCAACAAAAGAAGGTAAAGGTGTGCCTATGGTAGAGCTCAAACCTCTACCATCTCACCTTAGGTATGAATTCTTAGGCCCAAATTCCTCTTACCCCGTAATTGTTAGTGCATCCTTGAGTGAAAGCCAAGCTCAGGCGTTATGTTGTGTCTTGATAAATCACCAAGGTGCTTTGGGCTATACTATTGATGATCTTAAGATTATAATCCCCGCTTTGTGTACACACCACATAACGCTTAAGGAAGGCACCTTTCCTTCTATTGAACGATAAAGAAAGCTACATCCTCAAATGGGAGAGGTGGTGAAAAAAGAGATCACCAAGCTTTTGGATATGGGAATCATATTCCCCATCTCAAGATCTAGGTGGGTCTCTCCCGTTCATGTCGTTCCTAAGAAGGGGGGTATGACCGTAGTCAAGAATGAGAGAGGTGAGCTCATTCCGATTAGGATGGTCACCGATTGGAGAATGTGTATAGACTATAGACGTCTAAATACATCCACAAGAAGGATCACTTTCCTTTTCCATTCATTGATCAAATGTTATAAAGACTAACAAGGCACAAGTTTTATTGCTTCCTTGATGGCTATTCGGGATTTTTCCAAATCCCAATCCACCCCAATGATCAAGGGAAGACATTCTTCACATGACCCTATGAGACCTTTGCTTATAGGAGAATGACTTTTGGCCTTTGTAATGCCCCCGCAACTTTCCACAAGTGCATGATGAGCATTTTTGGAGACATGTTGGAGGAAGAAATGGAGGTTTTTATGGATGATTTCTCCGTAGGTGGGGTTTCATTTGAAGAGTGCCTTGTGAATCTTGAAAATGTTTGGCAAGGTGTGTGAAGGTTAATCTTGTCTTGAATTGGGAGAAGTGCCACTTCATGGTGGAGGAAAGAGTAGTGCTTGGACACAAAATCTCTCAAAAAGGAATAGAGGTGGATAAGGCCAAGATCGAGGTTATTGAGAAGCTTCCACCATCGGTGAATGTCAAGGGAGTGAGATCATTTTTTGGACATGCGGGCTTCTATAGAAGATTCATCAAGGATTTCTCACTCATTGCCAAGCCCCTTAATGCTCTTGTTCAAAAATATGTTGAGTTTGTGTTTGATGGTAAATGCTTGGAGGCATTTTAAAGTTTGAAGAAGGCCCTAATCTCTACCCCCATTGTTCAAGCCCCAAGATGGGATCTACCCTTTGAATTGATGTGTGATGCTAGTGATTGGGCAATTGGAGGTGTTTTGGGACAACGTGTGGATAAGAAGCTTCATGTGATTTACTATATGTCCAAGACACTAAATGGGGCTCAAAAGTATTACACAACAACGGAAAAAGAATTCTTGGCCATTGTTCACTCTTTTGAGAAATTTCGGTGTTATTTGTTGGGCTCTAAGACCATTGTCTTCACGGATCATGCGGCTCTCAAATATCTCTTTGCCAAGAAAGAGTCCAAGTCAAGGTTGATTCGTCGGGTGCTTGAACTGCAAACTTTTGAAATAGAGATTAGGGATAAGAAGGGTGCGGAAAACGTTGTGGTGGACCATCTTTCTCGCCTTGAGGGTGATCAAATTCATGATGATGGTTTACCAATTGAAGATAGAATGCTTAATGATTTCTTGTATGCCATTAAGGTAAAGGAGCTCCCATGGTATGCCGATTTGGTAAATTTTCTAGCACGTGGGGAATTTCCACCTTCTTTCTCCAAGAACCAACGAAAGAAACTCAAGAGGGAGGCAAGACAATACTTGTGGGATGATCCCATCTTGTATAAATGAGGGGTAGATGTCTTGCTTAGGCGTTGTGTTCCGAATTAAGAGGTGCCTAGTTTTCTAAAGATGTGCCATTCGGATCCTAGTGGTGGTTATATGGGTGTTTCCAAAACCGCTAATAAGGTTCTTCAATGTGGTTTGTGGTGGCCACATCTCTTCAAGGGTTCATGGGGCTTTGTAAAGTCATGTGACCGATGTCAAAGAGTTGGGAATATCTCCAAGCGGAATGAGATGCCTCAACAACCTATTCTTGAGTTGGAGGTGTTCGATGTATGGGGGATTGACTTCATGGGACCATTCCCATCTTCATATGGGAATCAATTCATACTTGTGGTTGTGGACTATGTTTCTAAGTGGGTTGAGGTCATTGCTTCCCAAACAAATGACCACAAAGTAGTGTTGAAGTTGTTCAAAAAAATCATCTTCCCAAGGTTTGGTGTACCTAAGGCTGTGATAAGCGATAAGGGTTCTCATTTTGTTCACAATGCCTTCCAAAAGATGTTGAGGAAACATGGGGTTCATCAACGGTTGGGCCTTCCATATCATCCTTAAATGAGTGGCCAAGTTGAGGTCTCTAATCGTCAAATAAAGCTTATTATTGAGAAGACGGTTGCAAGGAATATAAATTAAAGGACTGGTCGGACAAGTTGGATGATGCTCTTTGGGCCTATAGAACGGCTTTCAAGACACCTATTGGCACCACTCCATATCGCCTTGTCTATGGCAAATCATACCATATCCCGGTAGAAAAGGTGGTTGAATCTTCATGAGCTAGAGGAGCTCATTCCAAGGAAGCTCACGACAAGCTTATTGAGAGGAAAGAGTTTTGTGTTGGTGATAAAGTCTTCCTCTACAATTCAAGAATGAAGTTGTTTCCCGGAAATCTCATGTCAAGATGGAGTGGCCCTTTCTTGATGAAAGATGTTTTTGCTAATGGTGCCATGGAGATTTCTCCCTTGGATTACCCATCTTCTTTTAGGGTTAATGGTCATCGACTCAAGAGAAATTTTGATGGATTGTTTGTTGGTATTATTCAAAAAATGATTCTTTTCAAGCCACCTTGAATGGATGGTAAACGTCGAGCTAACGATGTTAAACAAAAGGGCTTATGGGAGGCAACCCAGATTCTCACCTCTATTCTCTTTTCTTCCTTTCTTTTATTTTTCTTTGTTGATTTTTGCTCTTACCTTTCCTTATGTTTTTAGTTTGTTTTTTAGATTGCCTTCATTCACCAATTATGGACTTAATGTGTTTGATGAGGATAGAAAAAGGAGTATTTGGAGTGCAGGGGAGAGGGTACCCTGCGGGCTTGGAGAGGCCTCGGGTGCCCTTGCTTTAAAAGAGGGGAAATCCAATCAGGAACTTCTCGCGGTCTCTCCGCTGTATCCTCGCGGGCGCGGGTGTCTTAGAGAGGCCACGGGGAGAATTGGAGAGGGCGCGGCATATTTTGTCAAAAAAGGATTAGGAACTCTCCGCAGTTGCCCCACGAGCACGGCAATCCTGGAGAGGGCGCGACCCCAGTTAAAGGTAAAAAATCAAATTTTTTCTAGAATAGGCCCGCGGTTTCCCCGCGACCTCTCCGCGGGCGCGGCAAAGTCCGGAGATGGCGTGGCTACCTAGGTGACATGGTAGGCCGGCTTTCTCTCTCTCTCTATCTCCTCTCTTATTTTTCAATCTCTTTTTGATTTCCCCCTTTCTCTCTCTTCCTCCTCTCAAACCCTAACCCCCAAATCATCATTTTTGCACAAATTGACTCAATTATTCCTTGTTTTCACTCAATTTTCCATCACAATTTCCTTCATCCTCCATTTTCATCAAGATTAGTCTCTTTTCTCGTTGTTTTTCGGGAAATTTGAGTCCTTGAAGCGATTTTAAGCTTTGTTTGAGTCTTCAATCTTGGTATACTTCTAACCTTTTTTTTTATTTTTGTCAATTTCAATTGATTATGGTACATTGGTTATGGTTTGCCTTGATTAAGCATGATTATGATGTTTATGGTTATTTGTTTAGAGGTTTTGGAATTATTTTGAGTGATTTGTGCTTATTTTTTATATGGATTGTGAATGTTGTTGGTTGTTGTTTGGATTTTTGGTTGTTTTGTTGCTTGTAACAGGTACTTTGTAGTTTGTGGTGGTTTAGGGTGGTATTGTGAAGGTGGTTTGAAAAATTGGTGGTAGTGTTGGTGTTGATTTTGGGTGATTGTGTAGTTTCTTGTGTTGGTTGATCTTGTGACTATGGATTTGTTAAGGAAATTTAAGAGTAGCAAGAAACGTTCTAACCAATCCCCCGGCCAATCCTCCCAAGGCCAATCCTCTCAAAGCCAACCTTCAAACACCGAACCTCCTCACAACCAAACTGCTCAAGATGATACCCCACCTCCTCCTTTACCTCCTCTCAAATTTCACAATCAGTCTAAACATGTCCCAATCTATAACAAAATGAAATCCTGGAAATTTAGACCTACCCGCAACTATCTTCCCGATGATATGGTCACATTAGGAGTTGATGCCGATCTTGACATCCTACTCCATAACCTTTGTTTGGATGAGTTTGTAAAGTCTTCTCTGTGAACCTATTTGGAGCCTTGCATTGAGTTTTTCTCCACCTTTGAGTATAATAGGACGGGGGATAACGACTATATCATCTCTTTCTAACTATTCAATTCCAAGCATACGATGAACCTTGTCGAATTCAGTAAAGCCCTTGGCTTCAATCCCAATGCCGACATTTATGAGCCCTTGGTTGCCCTTCTCATGTTCGATTACAATGAGGTTGCATGGTTGAGACAAATTGCTCAAAAGAAGGTGTTTGACTCTAAACATTCGCTTGCTAGTGAGATCATTCACCCAGCTCTTAGAATTCTTCATCGGGTTCTTGGCTATGTCATGTTTAATAAGAAATATCTTGGGAAGCTTTCGAGGGAGGAGATCTTAGTCTTTGGATGGCTAAAAGGTTGGATTTGGGG